GTGGTGTGAGGGCTGTCGATTCTGAGAAAAAAAGAGGAAAAGAAAAAAGAGAGACACGTGATATTTGAGATCTAATGTGGAATTGTTCTGAGGAACATGCCATGTTTACTGTTCATTGTCTCCATTCTTGGAAGGCTTCCTGAAAAGCACGTAGCACGACAGGACTGTCCAAATCAGTTACATTTCATAATCCGAAATGGTTCCTGCTGATCCTTCCTCTCATTTACCCCCACTTAGTATTTCCTGTATATGCATGGGTGGTGTGTGTTGGTGCATAGCACATGACAGTAAAGATTGAAAATCCCAAATCACAGAACCTATAGCTACATTATCATCAGTGCGTGTGCTTCAAAAAACAAAACTCACACATCCTTTCTCATTTTTATCTTGTCTTTCGTCTAATCTTTTGTTCCTCAAGTAAGCCTGAAAGTATATGAGGCACTGACAAGAAGATTGTAGGGAATTCTAAGAAGAAAAAAAATATGCTACTGTAAATATTAAACAAGCACCGTATTCGAGGAACTGAAAAACTCTGTCTTGTGGCTTTTTTAAAATCACCTTTTTACACCACAAACATGGCGCGCACACGTAGCATCACGCTGATCACTGAATGATCTTTTTTCCCCAACTGGTTCCCATTCCAATCATATTTACTTTTGATTCAGGTGGGAAATGTTAGCTTACCGTGTTAGCAGACGTACCAGTTGAACATTGGTAATTTGGCCGTAATTTAGTTTATCCAAGTAATTTTATCAAATTCAGGCAATTGGCAGTTTATCTGATTCGATGTGACTCCCAACTTAATTTATGCTTTGATGAGGAAACACGTGGACGTGGCGAGGTCACTGGGGCCTCCAGCTTTGTTTAATATTCATATACTTTTCACGAGTTGGGACTTTATACTCCTATAAACACAATGCAGAGAGCTGAGAGGACGTTCTTCCTTTGCAGGTAACAGAGTAATATTGGAGGGTGCACATTTAGGTCATTTCAGATTTATGGAAATACCAGACGTTAAAGACGGTAGCCGACTACTCTCATGTTCACAGATGTTTGGGCTTTTCCACCACAAAAGAAAACAAGCTGTCTTGCTTTCCCCTCAGTCCCTCTGGTACATTGAGTTGAATAATTGCATACTGGCCAAACACAAGCAATCCAATACAGACCTTGAAATAATTAGGTTGCAGTCTTCAAGCAGGTTTTAATTGTTGACACTTGACGGAAAAAGCAGTTTAACACCTACAGAGTCAAATAGAAACTACTGTGAGCTGGGGGACAAATTTGTCAAGAACATGTGAGGAAATGAACTTGAGTGACTTCTCACATAGTATAACGATATATGTGTTGGATTTATCTGGTATGGAAGAGCAGTAGAGGCAGGGATAGGAATAAAAATATCATTTTGCATTTGACAATAAAGTCAAAATGTTGAGAAAAAAAGTTGAAATGTTGAAAATAAAGTCAAACTAAATCAGAGGAGGATGATTTTTTTTTTCATTGTGCAAAACATTGTTAGGAATAATATCAAACTAATCCAGTGGAGGAAGATTTTTGAATTCTGCTTGGTTGATTACGTCACAGTTAAGAATAAAGGAATACCCTTTACATTATTGATATGATACAGCTATCAAATAAGCATACAGTTGCACCACTTCAGAAAATCCCTTCCACACTCCAGGGATGTGACATTTTGGCAGTTCATATAACTGTCAGCTGCTCCTCTTACTGGATTGGATGTATCAAAGAAGTGAACTTCACACTCGACATTTCAACTTTATTCTCAAAATGCAAACACTTCCTTCTCTCATGTTTTTTTCCCTTATGTCTGGCCCTAATAGTCTTCCATACATAACATTTACTTTTTGTATTCCAGCTCCAACCAACAAGCCTGAACACACAAGCTGCAGCAGCAGAAATGTGTCTTTTAAATCCATCAGGGTTTAACCAGAGCCGGCTCTGTGTTATATGCAGAAACTATGAGACTAATGCATGAGAATATGATGTACGAGTGGTGCCCTGCATCGCATACCATCAGCAATGACTCATCACTGTCTCAGGGAAGGAAAAATCATACACGCATAAAGCTACTCTCCCCACACGCATATGCAGAGAAGGAGTGCATCGAGCATGAGGGCACACACACACACAGCAAATAGAGCAGCACCTAGGAAGAACGTGGACTCCAGGTTTCAAATGTTATAGTTTGGATCAATAAAATAAATTTGAATGCCTGCCTATGATGATTTTTAACATCAGTAGCATGCAATGTTATTCTTCTGTGTGTGTGTTACTGTGAAATACTGTACTAGAATTGACAATGACACTTGTCCTGAAATATTTACCGTCCACAAAATGACAGTGTAAATCACCTTTAGGTGGTTTTCTCCAAGTGCTCGACATATTTATGGAGCACTGCTGGACGCTAACTTGTATCTCTTATAAAGCTCCGGAGAAATTTTACAGAGGTTGTAACCTGACTTTACTTTTTCTTATTTTCTGACAGTTTTACTCTTCACCTCTTTCTGTCAGTACCCAGCATCAGTTACATTGAAACCAGTGTTGCTGTTCTCTCGCCTTGACACTCCCCACTTGCAGACAACCCTGGGCCCCCTTGTGGAATGCTGTATAGCGTGAGGCCTATGGAGGAAGGGCATCCCGGGACACAGCGAGAACACACAAATACACACTCAAACACACACACACACAAACACACACACACACACACACACTACATATGCTAACACAGCCACTAACACGCACATAGACAAATACAGCTGTTGAGAGCCTTCACAACCCTTTGGCAGACTTCCAAGTCAAAGACGAGTGCTGGAAGGCCTCCGTTTAGAGAGAAAGAGAGAGAGAGAAAAAAAAAGTCTCACATTTTCCATGTATGTTGTGTTTAACACTTGAAGATAGAAAGTTGGCAGCACGAACGCCACATTACCTCAAACTGATTCCCCCCCACTCCGTACTGTGGGGAGGAGGAAATATAATAAACTCTCTTGATGCAAAGGTCGTCTACACAAGTACAACACATCTCATTATCGTCCATGGTATGTTTCACATAAGAGAAGCAGAAACAGAAAGGACATGTTGCTTAAAACTAAGATTCACACTACACTGGTTAAATGATTCACACAGATCTATCACTGTGTGACATCTATTAGGGGACTAGGATCCATAAGAAAGATAAAGATGTCGCCCATAACCAACAACCAAATATGTGGGTTTTTTTCTTCTTTCTTTGCATAATCATCTTGACAACAAACACATGACTCCGCTGTGGTCTAGAGACAATAAGACAGAGAGCAGGGTGTCAGAGAGAAAAAGAGTGTGTGCGAGAGAGGGAAGGAAAGTGACAGGAAATTATGAAAATCGCCACAGGCTGTATGTCGGCGAGCCACACACTGCACCCATGTACACACACACACACACACTCACACACACACGAGGGGAGGGAGTGTATATATAGTCAGATATGGCTCCTGCAGGGTTCAGGTAAGGTAAACAAAGCCACAACTGACACATCAGACATTGCAGGCTACAGTCACGTGCAAGGAGGGAACAACTTGTTTTTGAACCTTAAATTAAATCTGAATTTGCTGCTAGATATATTAAATTATAAATTTAAAGTGCCTTTGGTCTCATTTGGTCCCAGCCCAAAGATTTTATAGCCTTTATTGTGTCATTTTTGTAAATGATTATGGATGTTGTGGACAGTTTTAGTGCACTCAGGTTAGATTTAAAACACAAAACCACCATTTAAACATGCAAATACCTTGAAGTAATACTTTAAATGCTTGTGAGTGAGGGTTCATACAGTGACACTTTTCAAAGCTTTACTCAAATTTATTTAAACCATATTAGGTATTTGCATCTTTGGTGCCCAGTTTGGTCCAGCCCAAGAATCTTTTAGCCCACATATCAGTTTTGAAAATGATTATAAATGTTGTTGACAATTTTCATGCACTCAGATTAGATTTTGAACACTAAATCATCATTTAAACATGCAGATGTTCCTTAAACTAACAATATAATAAAAGGAACACTCCTAAAACCTTTACTCATTAGTATTTCAAATGTTATCTCTACATATGTGACCATTTTGGCACAGTCAAACAACTTTATAGTTTTGAATAATGTAAATTTTGTCTATTATTAAATATAAATGTTGTTGATATTTTTAGAGCACTCAGTTAAACACTAAACCAGCATTTGAACACTTAGACGCATAGAAGTAACACTTAAAATCCTTGTGAGTGAGATGTTTAAGATGGCAATTTATAACCTTCATTGTGACATTTTTGTAAATAATTATTAACGTTGAGTGCACTGAGGTTAGATTTTAAACACAAAACCATAATTTAAACATGCACATACTCCTTAAAGTAACACTTACGAGTGTGGCAGCTGCACTGGATCATATAGGAACTCTGCACTGCCCCCAAAAAACCCCTGCAACCTCAGCTGATCTCGGTGCTGCTTGTAGCAGTCGTGCAGCATATAGCAACACAATAGATGCATTATGGGTGGAGATTTTTTTTTTGTGGGGGGGTGTTTTGACTTCATTGTGACGCAAGAGCAATAATAATCCTACCACTTTCTCCACTCGTGCAGCTGAAAGTAATGACAATAGTATTCCCTGCGGTTTTATTAAAGCGCTGTCCAACATAGAACTACACTTTGCTGGGGAATGTGGGAGGGTAAAATAAAACTACAAAAATCATGTGTGATTGGCGGCAGTAGTGGTGGTGGTAGGGTACACTTCTGTGCGTAAAATCCGCACATCCAAATGACTTTTATGGAAGTTAAAGAGCGTAAAACTTGACTTTATGAGAGTAAAGTGTGCTGGTGTTGGCGAGAGGAGCTCGTGGTTGTATATGCGCACGGAGAAGGAGCGAGGGAGTATATGCATGGTAAAAAAAACAACCTATGCGTCATGCAAATCAGGCACTCTAAACATGGAGCCAAGACAAGACGAGAGCAGTGGATGTATTTACCAGATATGTGGTTATTCCATGAGCCGCGGCTGTCAGCTGGCGCAGATGTGGCACACGCTTCTCCCTCCGGATAGACCTCTAAAGTTTGCTGGGTGTTTCAAAGACGGGAAGAAAAAAGGAAAGAGCAGGCCCCTGGCTTTCCTCTCGTCCGCTGTCTCTCCCTCTATCTCTCCCTCTTCAGCCCTTTCTCTCCCATCTCTCTATCCCACTCTCTCTTTCTCTCTCCACTGTCCCCTTACAGGAAGTGAACGCAGGGCGCACTCACATGAACAGTGCGCGGACCGCGAGCTGCCTGACATCACGCACGGCTCGGTGTGCACTTCTTTTTTAAAGACGTAGACATGTTGGCGGGACCTGGCAGGGGTTTATTTCTCACTGAGCTGGAGGTGCACACTGTCCCGGCCGCAGCGAAACACACGGTTCTGTCGCAGGCTACCGTGCGCCTTTAGGGACACATGAACCCGGTGCACTGTGCAGACTTAAAGGTGTAGACTACGTACATGTGAGAGCATATAAACCTGCAGCGTGCGTGTGCATGTGTGTGTAAAGAGACAACATGCTATGTGCATACAGTGCGCGAGGCTGCAGATGGGACAGGTTCTTCTTCTTCCTCCTATTTCTGCGAGTCCTATAAGGACAACGTACATGTGTGGTTACCTCACGTGTCCCCATGCGATGACAGCTCACCGCACGATGATGCGCATGTGTGCTGCTGCTGCTGAGTTTAAAAAGCGCCAACTGCAGGCGGCGTGTGGCCCACTCCAACTTTTCTTTCACTGCAGACCAAGTGTCCCTCAAAGACTCATGACATGCACAGGAAATATGATTAGTATATTACTCCTATAACCTCTAGTATTATGATTAACCTGAAAAAATATCACCTGATTGGGAGTTTAGATATTACTGCTTTTTTTATTTCCCTCCTAGAACTTTCTGGTTTTCATTTAAAGTCAGTGGTTCCCTTGCTGTTTTTTTTGTTGCTTGCAAACCTTTTAAAACAAAGTTAAGTCCATTTGAAAGCTCTTGTCTAACTTGATGAGCCGTTAAAAGAGGCAAAATATTTTTTTCCTTTCCAAAATGTTCTAGTTTTATAACTTTATGTAGCCCCAAAGAGCTACATACCACAAGTAAAAATCATATAAAAGAATGTAACAGAAATATATACAGTATATATCTCGGTCTCTGTTTATTGTCAGGTGGCAGCAATGTCAATATCTTCTTCTTTCCATATATTTTGATTATTTTATGGCCTTTTAACCCCCCTTATAATGACAGAGGCCTATAGAGCTAACCTAGTATTTGACAAGTAAGACGAAAATATGAATATATTGTAAAACATAATAAATAATATCATATGTAAATGATATAAAATGATTCATTACAAAAAATCTGGAATGGATTTATGGAGCAGAAATCTTTCTTTTTCTTTTTTCCCCAATCTAGCCAAACTAGGGGTCAGGACCCCTTGGGGGGCAGTGAGGCACTACTGTAAATATATCACAGAATTGTACTTTATTAAACTAAAAGTAAATTATGATGTTAATTATCACCTTCACCTGTGTAAGCTTAACTGTCAAATCCCAGTTTGCTCTATTTTCATTATCACATCACATACCTTATTATCGCTCCTCTCATAATGGCACTGAAAGACCTTCATTTCTCACCTTCGTTTTCACTTTGAACTCCTCGTGTTGCTTCTGTCTTCTCTCCAGGATCAATACCCCGATGAGACTCCTCTCTGTGTGGTCTTGTGATACTCCTATATGAGCCTGCAGTGTTTACAGTACATTTATTGTACCTCTTGCTATTTTAAGCACTGTAATATTCCCTTTTGGGATTATCATGTGTCTGTGGTGTTAAACAGTGAGTTTATAATGACCTTATTGTACCATTAGGGCAGCTATATCCTCATCAGTGTTTGCAAGGAAATTAAAGATTTTTTTTTTCATTATGACTCATCATTCAACTAAATTCACTGAAAGCTGTAACTCTGGCCTAATTAAATAACAGCTTCAATAAGGCACAGACAGTAGGAACTAGAATGGGACCATGAATTATTCCCTGGAAAAATGGTAAAAATGTCAAAAATGCCCTGAGTCACAATGTTAAAGAAAAAATATTCTGAAAACAAACACCCTATCTCACGATGTTGTGGAAAGTTAAAAAATCTTTCTTGGCCCATGTTCCATCCTTCCACCGAGTTTTGTAGGAATCCAATCAGTAGTTTTTGTGTAGTCCTGCTCACAAACAAACAAATAGACAGTTGTGAAAACACTCCTGGTGTAAGAAAGGAATCGTTTCAAGTCATCCATTTTTGAATCATCCGGAGTAATCTAACATGTGCTTAATATGATAATTTCATCCAGCGATAAGTCATGCATCACCATGTATTCCATATTTTTCATAAATGAAGAATTCAAGGTTTGGTCTAGATAAGGGGGGTCAAAGGCAGAAGTGTTGATGTGAAACAAAAAAAAAAAACAGACGAGTCATTCAGACAAAGCAACCAAAAAGAAGAAATGAAAATGAGTGAGTATTGACTTAATCATCAAGTTCACCTACAGTCCAGCGCTATACAGACACCACGAGACAACTCATGTTCTCCAGTTCTCCTCTGGTGCAGCTGGCTGTCAGATCAGCCCTGGCTCTCGAGTACGAGGCATATGATGCGTTGATCCTCGGAACAAAAGCTTATTGTTGCCGCCTGATTATGCATTTGACGCTCAAGGCCATACCAGTCTCAAGCATGTCTCAGTTGGTTTCCCAATCGCTGTGCCGAAAGTTCATATCAAAATATGGCCCTGCTGGTAGTTTCAACTTCTTTCCTCTGTCTCAAATCTTATCATGGAAGATAAGCAAGGACATCTAAGATGATGTTTGTACAAGGTATAAAATATTAGTGAAGATACCTAAAACAGAAGGGGAAGTGTTAAACTGATTCTTTCAACCTCATGCGCCCTCATGAGTTTCATGTCAGCGTATGCTTCATGCTATGTGATAATGAGGCTATATAAGGTAACTGGGACACAGCCAGTTCCATTGTTATGCTTGGCAGAAAACAGCAGGGTCTAGTTGTGGTTGGTGTTTGTTGCGCTGGGGGAAGCTGAACAGAGAAGTCAGTCAGATCGGCTCTGAAACCATGTGAAGAGCTACTGACGGAGCACTTGACCCAACGCCCTTTTTCAATTTGAACTGTCACACACTCTTATGACACAGCTCGGGGCGCGCTGTCATGGGTGTTAGACAACACAGTAAGAAAATTGAGTTGGCCACGCATCTCAGAGCACGACACATTTCATCAACAGAAAATTTATTAAATAACTTAAAAAAACAAAAAAAAACTGGATGTTTATCACTTGAATGCCCGCCCCCCCAACCCAGTTCCACAAAACAACATTACACTCACTGCTGTTGACGACTTGTTTCAGTCACTTTCCGCACCATAACCTTTCAGCTTCATCTATGTGGTATATTGTGTTTAAACACAACATCCATAATATCAACCCAGGAATCATGGTGGAATTTTGCTTTTGCTCTAGGGCCCACTTTGTTTGCATTTTTGGCACACATGCCTGTCTTGCATCACGCAGCCATGACGCACATTAGTCAGAGTAAGTCACGTCTTCATGCAACATTTCTGACATTCACATTTTCCATTATTGCAAACGGAACAGTTTCTGGTCAAGATGCACTTCAAAATCTGTGAAAACTGTTTACAAATGGCATGAAAATACAAGAGATGTAATAGAAATAATTGATTCTTATGAAATTCAATTATATATCTGAAACCCAACCAATAAGGTTTAACGCATTTAACCCCAACGTCAAAAGGGTCTTTTTTGACTACAGTGGAGTGACACAGAGCAGTCCCACAGGACACGTAAAAGCTGTGTGTTGTTCCATGAAGACACACAAAGCTGAGGTTACAGTCTGCAGCATCCACATCGCACACTACATTTCCCACGTATGCTCACATCGCAGCTACATGTCCACAAACACCATGAAGCACCAGCCGAGCCCGCCCACCAGGAACATGGTGATCTGCATGCTGTAGATGATCAGGTCATTCACCACACCAAAGTCTAGGCGCCGGTGCCCCAACAAGAGCAGGATAACGGACAGCTTGTACTGCAGCCGCAGGAGCACGCGCACGCTCACGTACTGCAGGAAGAAGAGGGCGGAGAGCGCCACCCAGAGGAGGGAGGTCAGGAGGCTGCAGCCAAAGTACAGGAGGAAGCGGAGGAAGCTGTACATGCAGCGGGAGCGCAAGTACAGGTCGAAGTTGTTGTACTTGGTGCGCACTAGCTTGGAGGCGTGCGTCGACCCGCAGGCCGAGTGCATGCAGGTGGTGTGGGGGCCATGGAAGCTGCGCACCCGCCGTGGGATGGGGATCACAGGCATGGGTGGGCTACGGGAGCCCAGGAGTGCCAGCTGCAGGGGGAGTCCTCTGTGAGAGCAGCTGCTGGGGAGCCAGGAAGCTTCATTTGGTTGTGGAGCGAAGTGCAGCTCTCGCAGGAGCCTGGGACAGAGAAGTGGCAGCTTGTGGTGTGTGTGCAGTCAGAGAGGCTTTCTCCTTCATATGCAACATGGATCTGTGGAGATATGACATAGTTACTGTGATTTTCTTAATGCAATGACAACATGTACATATACACATGGCTGCAAATCCAACTCAAGAAATGCAGGCCTCTGTAGAACACAACATGCATGTCAACCCTGAGGGGAAGCCAGTGTGTGAGCATGAAGCTTCACGTGATATTCACACGACTACATCAGAGCTGTGACACCGAATAACACATCCCCTCCATATATTCCTCTGTGGAAACAAGTGATGGTGCAGAATCAGGGATCTTACATGCAACACTATGGCGCCTTCCTCCTCAGTAAGAAAAGACGACGGCAGTTTGACTCTCGCGTCTGCAGCACTGACTCACATCATTGACACTCAGTGACTGTGACTCCAACATTAACTGTTGTTTTCTGTCTTTTCTTGTTTCTCTTCCTTCGCGTCGGGCTGTTTTATTTTATTCCGGCGGAGATGAGACGTCGAGCCGGCGCTCGAACGTAAAACTGTCGCAAAGCACGCTAGTCACGCTGCCCGTGACGTCACATGGCGAGTTAAAGGGGAAGTGCGCCTCAACCGGAGAATTGAGCTCTGGATTTTTACATTAAAATAAGTTTCTATTGAGTTACACTGTAAGCAAATACTATATTATATATTAT